GCTGTGAATAAATGAAAAATCAAGGTTTGGGTGGGTGAGAGATGAACTTGGGTTTTGTCCCCAGAGTATGCTTGCTGCTGGCAGGGGCGGGGTACGTTGAGCTGAGGCCAGATTGGGAAGCCTGGATTATTCTGAGCTGTGGACCAGACTTGAGACTCCGTGAGTCTATAGAAATACTTTCTCCACCCAGCCAGTTTATGCCTTATATACTTTCATCTGAAATTCCTTCTTCTGACTCAGGGTTTTTGCTCATTAAAAGGAGAGGCACTGCTTTAACATTCACCCAGGAGTCTGGAGCTCTGGGCTTAAGCTCTGGGCTTCAGTTTCCCTGCTTCCTACATTCCCCATAAAATAATGAGAATGTACCATCAGCAGTTCTTAACCTTTTGTGATTTAGAGATCCCTTTGGACCTCAGAAGGTACAGATGCCCACAGAAATCCTTAGTCCCTTGACTAAGAATGCCAAGGCTAGAAGACTGGGAGGCCTTCCTATCTGTAAAGTTCATGCTGTGGATGAGCTTGGAACACCACACACACTTGCACAGAACCCTCACATCCATTCTCCCATTTGTTCCTCACAACAGCCTTAAGAGGGAGCAGAGATGACCATCACCACTTAACAGATGACAGGAGGCCTCACACTTCATCCAAGGTCCAACAGCTGACTAGTGATATGTAGATATTCAGGCCAGGACCAATCTTCGTGTCTCCTGTATCCATGTTCTATACATAATGCATGTATATATAAAAGTATCATCACCCCTGACCTCAAACACCAAACCTTTGTGAATTTGGCCTCATTTCAAGATCACACCATGCCTATGGGAGCATCTGGACCCACCATCTTTTAGCTCAAAGTACATCCTAAGTTTTCTGGGACTTACTCAAGGCTACTCAGTGTTTCTTTGTGGATTAGTTCCCAGAAGGGTGAGCCCAGGCATCAGCTGAGTGGCAGCAGCCTCTCCCAGTGAGACAGGAAGTGCTGCAGATAGTGTGCTTTATTGGGAAGGCTGATTGAAATAAACCCAGATAAAGCACCTGTGAGACACGTTAACAAAGATTAACAAAGAGACAGGTTGTTGGTAGTGGTGATGGGTGAGGTGGGGAGGGGCTGGAGTGGGGCCCAGGCAGAGGAAAAAGCAAGCTTCCAGTGGTCTTTTTCCACCAGATCAACAGCACGGTCTTGCCTCTGCTGGCTGCTATGGCTCCTCCCGGCAGGCCACCATGTTTGTGGCCTTAACATCTTTCCCAGGTTCAGGCCCTATTTGTTTTTCTTATTAAAAGTGTTGAGTCACTTTTTCCCTGCCCCCTGTTTAGGTTGTTTATTTCTGTTCTCAATTCTGGACCTGACATTTGTCTATGGAAGCTCATCTTTATAGATGTTCCATAACTTAATTGGGTCCCATTTCTTTGCACTGGACTTCAAGCCATGTTCACATAGCAAGTTCAGGTACTATGAGGGATGCAGAGATGGATAAAGTACTGTTCCTGCTTTAAGGGACCCATAGAGATGAAAGATGAAACGTTTATTGACTGGTGAAGGAGGCAGAAAGGGACAAATGTCATGTAGAGCTGACTGTGGTGTCATCTATAATAGAGGTTGGGAAGACCACCTACATGGGAGAGTAGCTAATGCTGACTCATGGAATGTGGAAAAGCTTCCTAGAGGTGACTGTTTAAAAAAAAAAAAAAAAAAAAAAAATATATATATATATATATATATATATATATATATATATATATATATATATATATAATTGATTTTTTACAGAGAGGAAGGGAGAGGGATAGAGAGTTAGAAATGTTGATGAGAGAGAAACATCAATCAGCTGCCTTCTGCACATCTCCTATTGGGAATGTGTCCACAAGCAGGGTACATGCCATTGCCTGGAATCAAACCTGGACCTTTCAGTCCGCAGGCCAATGCTCTATCCACTGAGCCAAACTGGTCAGGGCAAGGTGACTGCTTTTGAGTCAGATTTAGAAGTTTGGTAAATACTTGGATGAGGATGCAGAGCACTCTTGGTAGAGGGAATTCCTTGGGCAAAGCCATGGAAGTAGGAAGGCATGAGGGAAGGCAAAGAGGCTTGCTGACCAGACCATAGTGTATAAGTTGAGTATGTGATGATGGGGTTCTAAGGCAAGCTAGTTTTGGCTTCAAAACAGTGGGAGTGTTGATGAGATGACCCTGACTCGTGTGTTCTTTCCCCTTGCACAGGCCATGCCACTGAAACACTATCTCCTTTTGTTGGTGGGCTGCCAAGTCTGGGCTGCCGGGTTGGCCTACTATGGCTGCCCTAATGAGTGTACCTGCTCCAGGGCCTCCCAGGTGGAGTGCACCGGGGCGCGCATTGTGGCGGTGCCCACCCCACTGCCCTGGAACGCCATGAGCCTGCAGATCCTCAACACGCACATCACCGAACTCAATGAGTCCCCGTTCCTCAACATCTCGGCCCTCATCGCCCTGAGGATCGAGAAGAATGAGCTATCCCAAATCATGCCTGGTGCCTTCCGCAACCTGGGCTCGCTGCGTTACCTCAGCCTCGCCAACAACAAGCTTCAGGTTCTGCCTATTGACCTCTTCCAGGGCCTGGACAACCTTGAATCACTCCTTCTGTCCAGCAACCAGCTGGTACAGATCCAGCCAGCACACTTCTCCCAGTTCAGCAACCTCAAGGAGCTGCAGTTGCATGGCAACTACTTGGAATACATCCCTGATGGCGTTTTTGACCACTTGGGGGCCCTCAACAAGCTCAATCTGTGCAAGAACAGCCTCACCTACCTCTCGCCTAGAATCTTCCAGCGCCTGGGCAACCTCCAAGTCCTCCGGCTGTGTGAGAACAGGCTCTCAGACATCCCCATGGGCACGTTTGATGGGCTGGGCAACCTCCAAGAGCTCTCCCTGCAGCAAAACCAGATCGGTGTGCTCTCCCCTGGCCTCTTCAACAACAATCGTAACCTCCAGAAGATCTATCTGTCCAACAACCACATCTCCCAGCTGCCCCCTGGCATCTTCATGCGGCTGCCCCAGCTCAACCGTCTCACGCTCTTTGGGAATTCCTTGAAGGAGCTTTCTCCGGGGATCTTTGGGCCCATGCACAACCTTCGAGAGCTTTGGCTCTACGACAACCACCTCACTTCTCTACCTGACAATGTCTTCAGCGACCTCCGCCAGTTGCAGGTCCTGGTCCTCAGCCGCAACCAGATCAGCTACATTTCTCCCGGCGCCTTCAATGGGCTGGGAGAGCTGCGGGAGCTGTCCCTCCACACCAACGCGCTGCAGGAGCTGGACGGGAACGTCTTCCGCATGCTGACCAACCTGCAGAACATCTCCCTGCAGAACAACCGCCTCAGACAGCTCCCAGGGAACATCTTCGCCAATGTCAATGGCCTCATGAACATCCAGCTGCAGAACAACCAGCTAGAGAACCTGCCAGTGGGCATCTTCGACCACCTGGGGAACCTATGTGAACTTCGACTCTATGACAACCCCTGGAGGTGTGACTCTGGCATCCTTCCACTCCACAACTGGCTCCTGGTCAACAAGCCCAGGCTGGGGACAGACACCCTTCCGGTGTGTTTCAGCCCAGCCAGTGTCCGTGGCCAGTCCCTCATCATCATCAACATCAACATTGCTGCTCCCAGTGTCCAAGCCCCAGTGATCCCCGAGGTGCCCAGCTACCCAGAAACGCCAAAGTACCCGGAAACTCCCAGCTATCCTGAGACCACTTCCATCGCCTCTGCCACTGAGTCCACCAGCTCTGTGGAGGACTACACTGATCTGACCACCATCCAGGTCACTGATGACCGCAGCACGTGGGGCATGACCCGGGCCCAAAGCGGGCTGGCCATTGCTGCCATCGTCATTGGCATCATTGCCCTGGCTGCGTCCATCGCTGCCTGCATCTGCTGTTGCTGCTGTAAGAAGAGGAGCCACACAGTCCTGATGCAGATGAAGTCACCCAATGAGTGTTAAAGAGGCAGGCTGGAGGCAGGGATGGGGAACGGTGGGACCACTGGAGAATCTGGGAATTTCATCCTTTGACCTTTACCCCTGGGTCCACAGAGCCATCCCTTGCTCCCTCTCTCTGGTCCCTGAGCGAAAGGCACCCTCACCTTTTCCTGACCTGCTCTTGCAGGACCTTCTTACCACCAGAGAGATCTGACCCTGCAGGGTTTCCAATTCACAGCCCAGGGCTTCCTTCAAGAAAGCCTCTCCTCCAAAACCTCACCAGCTCTTCTCTAGGAACAACCTTTCCTGTGTCCACACCCTTGCTGGCCTCTATAGACACACTTATTCCATGCCTGTTCACTTTATGGAAATAGTTCTCCACCAGGACAGCCTCTCTCCCAAGTATTCTGTAAGTTGATTGTCCTTCTATTGCTCCTTCTATCGTTTGTGGCATGGCTCCACCCTGTCACTTCAGATGAAGCTCTCCTTTGATTTTCTGCACCTGAAGGCAAGGTGAGTTCTCTCCTCAAAGAAGGCTTCAACCCATTTAGCTGGTTTCTTCAGAACTGCCAAGCACCCTGGTCCTCAGGATGCTGTGAAAGACAGAGGAGAAAATGATGCTGCTCAGTTCCTGAGACAGAGCCATCATCAGGATCTCCCATGATTTTTATGTGGAAGAGGAAGAAAGGCACAGCGAAACCAGTTCAGCCTTTTAGAGGATGGTATTTCCAAGCTGCACACTTAGCTTTAAATTTTATAGTCTTTAAGGAATAAAATCATGAAGAATTTCTGACCTGTTAAATGCTAAAGTCAGCTTATTGGTACTGGGTGGAGAAAGCAGCCTGGTACCTAGGGGTTCTTGTGTCTACCCCTAGGGTTTTTCTCTTTTAAGTGTTTATTGAAGGAAAACATACATACAGAGCAGAAAAGTGTATAGCTTGATGGATTTTCACAAACTGTACACACCCTGTAATCAGTGTCCTGATCAACAAACAGGATATCACCAGTATCCTCTATCCCAGTCTTTTCCTGAAGAAGACGGGGGCTTATGGGAAGTGGCACGGACTTAACTGGGAAATGGCTCCCCCTGGGCCAGGATGGGTCCTCCCCTCTCCTCTCCCCTCAGTCAGCCCTTGTGAAGGTCCAGCTGCCAGAGTGGAGGAGAAGATGTGGTACACGCTGGCCTGGACAGAAGATTTTATTAAATCCTCAGACCTGCGGCTCCCAGATTGGCCAGGTCAGAAGCATCTCAACTATTAGTGGCCATGCACCCTTCTCTACCAATAAGCTGTCTTCTTGCTGTTCATTGGAGGCCCTTCTGCCTGGACCTTTTTATGGGCATGATGCACCTATATCTGTTTTTAATTTTCACTCTCCATTTGGGGGAAGTGAAATACCTCAGAGATGAGATCCTTTAATTGAACATCCAAGTGTAATGGAACCCAGCAATCCCTCAAATGCGGTGGTGAAATTCTCCATCAACATTACAGTCAGCTAGAAACAGAATTTCAGAATAAACAGAATTTCAGAATTCTTATACAGAGCAGGAAACACCAGGGTACACGGATCAGTCACACTGGGTTTGGGCCTCTCTGGAGCAACTCTGACCCAGGGTCTGGTTATAGGAGTTATTCTTCCCCTTGAGTTACAATCATTTGAATACCTGCCCTTGCCACCCTTCCTGCTGCATACATATTCACTCTGGTAAATAAATTATGCTTATAGCAATAGACATCTTTCTCTGGACAACTGGTCTACCAGTTTAGAAGTAGAAGTTCTAAATGGAGAATTTCAGATGTCCATGTTTGCCCAGGAAAGAGCTGTAGCCAACACTATAAAGATTTGAAAACCTGCCACCAATCCTGATTGCTTCTTACAGGTTCCCTCTGCTCCATACAACAAGTAAAGAAATCTCTTGGGGCCTTAGCAGAATGATGCTGACAGGTTCCCCCAAAAAAGGATCCAGGAAGGGATGTGCCTGAGAACTAGTGTTCTTGGTAGCTTCTTACTCTCTGTTCCAGGGAATCTGGGAGAGATAGGGCCTGTCAGAGGCAAAAGACATCATCTCCCCAAGGTAAATCTAATTTTCCAAAAACATTTTAAAATATTTGTAGCAACTGGTAGATGTGTTGCTGGGGTCTGAAAGCAAGTGAGCTCAGAGCTTAGGGCATGAGCATCATCCCACCAATGGTAATCTGTATCCTGGGGCCAAAGAGGGAAGCTCAGCCTGCTCTCCTCAGGCAGGAAGCATGGTTTGGCATTGCATTCCTCACGGCCCTCCATATGAGTCACCTCCAATGTCTCCTTGTGCAAAAGCACTACTGGGCAGAGAGGTGAGGAAGGAGTCCTCTTCATCCAGTGTGTCCTGCCACTCTGAACCCAGAGCCCCTGGGTGCTTCCAGCATCGGTGGTGACATTGGAATACCTCTCTCTCTGGCCCACGAGATCAACACGTGTTCCCAGGCCAAAGGCTGGCCTGAGGGCGGCTGTGCGCAGATGACCCCACCCAGGAGCACTCCAGGTGGGAATGGTAGACCCTTTACCTAACCTTCTGAGCTTGCCTGTTCCTTTCTCCCATCAGAGTGGATTGGATGGAGCCATCCAGTCTCCTCTTCATTGGCAGGTCTTTTGGCCTCTGAGCCATGCTGTCTAGTCAGGAAGCTGCCAGAAAAGCTGAGTAGTTTTCTTTCCAACAGGACGATGCATTTGCTCACTTCTCAGGGCTGGAGTGAGCCACTTGGCCCCCCTAGAATAGAAGGAGGGCACAGAGTTCACTTCACTTCCCCCCTCTGCTCACGGGCTTCTCGGTCACCTTGTTGGTACCAGAAGACTGCATTTGAAGCAGAGGGTCAATGTTGGAGGGGAAAAAAATAATAGAAACCAGTTAGAGCCAGTTTTCCAAAAGTGCTTACTGTGCATAGCTTCCCTTGAAAGCACTTAACAGGCATTTTCTTTTTAATCCTCATAACACCCCCGTGCATGAGGACTACCTTATCCCCTGTGATGGGTCTTAACCCGCCCTTCTTCTGCAACATTTTCCTTCTCTCTTCAAACTTTGTACAAGATCTCGTGGCCTGTACTGAGCTTTCATCATTGAACCAAAGAAAATGGGAGTCAGTCTCCTGTTGTTCCCCAGAGTCTTAGCCACAGAAACCTCACTGGACACTGTGTGGCTCGAAAACGTCGTCAATGCAGGGGAAAATTAAACTCATCCATCTGTCAAAGAAACATTGGCCCCTCTCATGGAAAGTGTTGGGCTGTGTGTATCTTGTTCCCTTCTTTAGAATTCAAAGGCACAAACACAGTTCTCAGAGCTCTTAATGAGCGACAGTTTCCACCAACTTCCAGATGTCAGTGGAGAGCAGTTTCAAGAATCTAGTTCTAAACTCAGGAAGCTGATGGAGAGTGGGGAGCTAGAGATAACTAGATAACTAGAGTAGGTAGTCAGACAGTGGCCGCATCCCAGTCTTTAGCTGCAAACCTTTCAAAGAATTCAGCCCACGGATCCAACAGTCAGAACTGAGTCTGCGTTGCTAGGAAAGCTGTTGGGAAGGTGGTGGTGGTCTTGGGGAGGAAGCCATCTCAGAGAGGGTGAACGAGTGTCCTCCAGGCCAAACTCCTCCCGGTCTGCGTTTTCTCCTTCACCTAAGGATGGATCGTTCTCACCAACCCATTGCCTTCATGCTGCCTTCAAAAGTAGACCATGTTTGCCTTGCTTAGAGAATAATTGCAATTAGTCCTAGGAGTTTGGTGATGCATTTAGAGATTTCTAGGCCCCCAGGGTTTTATAGAGTGTGAGCCCTGGTGGGCAGGGTTGGGGGTCCATCTTTGCTGGGCTCTGTCTTTGCTGGATACTGCTTGTAACAAATTTGGTATACAGAATCAACAATAAATGGCTTACACAGGACACGTGTGCTCTTTATGGTGTCTTGGCTATGGGGTCGCACACGTGGTGATTCCACTCTTTAATTTTTTAAAAATTTTTTTTTTTTTTTTTTACAATATACAAAATAAATCAGTTTCTATGCGATCTCCACTTTCAGTCCTTGAGTGTCAGGGTTCTCTCCTGTGAGTTTTCCGTTGATTATTCAGGAAGCTTTTCTGTATTTTAGTAGTAATTCCAGTTTGTTCCTGGGAGCATGTCTATTCAGCATCCACTTACTCTGTCGCCATGTGCGCCCCTTGTGTCCCCCCGAGTCTGGTAATCCCATTCTTGTCATATGTGTACAAGACTGATCCAGACAGCCTCTCACAAAGAATAGATTCTGGGCTGGGAAAAGGTCCTCAGAAAGTGAGTGGGGACCAAAAATGAAATAACAAATCATATCTATAGGCCACTGTGTTGGGAAGGGGCCTTAAGGATAGGATCAACCCATGTTACAGATGAAGAGAATATGATCAAGACAGGAAGTGAAGTAGTGGCTGAGCTTGCACACAAAGCAGACCTCCAGACTCCCAGGCTGGAGTTGCTTCTATGTCATCAGAAAGGCACTGAAGTTCACTCAGTACTTGTTTAATGTGCCTGTGCACACACATGTACGCACTCACACATGGGCTTAGGTGGGTGGGGCTACCCTACGTCTCTGGACTCCTATTGGTGCTTCACACCAGGCTCAGTGAGTCACTGGCTCTCAAAAGACGCCATGAGTGAAGGTGACTTCTACCACGTGTCCAGGTGATCCAGGACTACTTCAGGTCTCCAGGTTCCAGGGGCTGCCACAGCTGTTGGCAAAGGCCCACTTCTTTAGAGGGAACCCATCCCCTCTGCTGTTCCCATGTCCTGTCACCATGGCCAGGAAAGGGGCTTCAAAACATATTTTCCTGGGATCTTTTAGTTCTTAGAAGCCTTCTGCAGATGTGAGCCTGTCCCAGGAGGCCGGACCTGGACAGGGGTCAATCGTGTGTTCACTATATCATGGGGCTGGACTATTTTTGTTGTTGTTGAATTTTAGAGAGGAAGGAAGAGGGAGAAAGAAGGAGAGAGAAACATCAATGATGAGAGAGAATCATTGATTGGCTGCCTCCTGCATGCCCCCCATTGGGGATCGAGCCTGCAACCCTTCAGGTCATAGGCCAATGCCTATCCACTGAGCCAATCCAGCTAGGGTTAGACTGTTTTTTGATGACTGGGGTCAGAGCCTTGTGATCCTTCCCTAACCACTGCACCTGTCCACTCAGACAGGTGTCTGAAATAATGGGAAAAGGCGTTAGAGCCTTAATTCTACCTCCCAGAAGATTCCTGGAGTTCTTAATGCAAATCTTCATCTGTATAGGCACACATGTCCTTCTAGCTGCATATATCTGCAGTGTAATTTGACACGTGTGTCCACACACACACACACACACACACACACACACACACACTCCTCCCCAGACCCTCTGCCATAGATAAGAATGAAGAGACTAAATAACTTGTGAAAGACTGGCTGATTTATTGAAGAAGCAAGTTTCAAACCCAGATCTTGGAATGCTAAATTTCTGTTGCTCACCATGACATTGACAAACAGACACATTCTCTTTCTGCCTTAAGAACCTGTCCCCTTAGCCTGGTTGTGAGTCTCCTCCAGAGGCGTGCCCACCTCCCCAGCCAGCCAGCCAGCCTGGGCGCTGCTGAGGGTGGGGCTGGGAGCACTTTGTTCACAGCCTTTCTCCCCTCTTACATGCCCCCATGTTTCCTGACAAAGTGCAGGTTATTATATGTCCCCATTGAAATATGGGGCACACTGTCCTGCCTTTGCAATTTGGCCAAAATCTGCTCACATGCAAAAATTTTTGTTCAAGTTTGGACTTGAAAAAGAGTGGCATAAATATTGATATCACGTGAGAAGATTAAAAGCCTTCAGAATGGGGGGTGGAGATGGAAGAGGGTATAGGGGGGATAAATGGTGATGAGGGAAGATAATAAAAGCCAGCAGAATACTTTGAATGGTAGGATCTGGGCATTGCTTATCTTGGTCAGACCTTCACCCTGCACTCCTGAAAACACACACACACACACACACACACACACACACACACACACTCCTCTCTTGTTCTACAGCCCCTGGCTGAGCAGCTCCAGAAACAGGACAATCACCATCTCCCAAAGCGGTCCCCCCTGCATGGGGTGAAAATGTGTCTCTCTATTCTGGGCCAAAATTTACCTCCTGAAGTCTTTTCCCTCTTTTAGCTCAGAAAGTGTTTAGAAAGTTGGTTTGTTAAACAAACAGACACATCAATAAACCCACAACCTTCTTAGAATTGAAGCTGGTGTTGAGAGCCGAGCAGGTGCCCGTGGCTGGCCCTCTGGCTGAGGTCTGGCTCCTGGGACCAGCCTGGCCTTTTACCAGAAGTGGGTGAGAGCATGGACCCCAGGCTCACTTCTCACTCCTGGAGCGTCCTCCTGAGTGCCCTGGACATCCCAAAGGT